TTACTCTGCCACCTTACAGAAACCCCATTTCGTTTTCTTTATGCATTCGTCTGCTGATGGAGACTTACGTTGTTTTCACATTTTGGCTATTGTGAAAAATGCTGCAATCTACATGGGAGTTCTGCTATGTCTTCAAGATCCTGTTTTCATTTCCCTTGGATATATATACCCAGAAGTGAGATTGTTGAATCATATAGTATTTCTATTTTTATTTCATATATGTATATGTATGTGTGTGTGTGTGTGTATTTCAGAGAGGGAGATAGAAATATCGTATATAATAAAAGGCTAATATGCAAATTGTCCCCTCAACCAGGAGTTCGACCAGGGGGCGGGGCTGGCCAGCCAACCACCCACAGCCTTTCCCCCTGGCCAGCCCCACCACCCCAATTGGGGGTAGGGCCAGCCAGCCAACTGCTTGTGGCTCCCTCCTCCTAGCCAGCCCACCCCGATCGGCCTGATTGGGGAAGGCTGTCCAGACCCCACCTGTACACGAATTTGTGCACTGGGCCTCTAGTCAATAAGAGAGAATCATTGACCGGCTACCTCCTGCATGCCTCCTACTGGGGATAAAGCCCACAGCAATCAAACTGTGACCTCCTGGTTCATAGGTCAGTGCTCAACCACTGAGCCATACCAGCTGGGCTCTTTTTTTTATTTCTTGAGGAAACTCTATACTGTTTACCATAGTGCCTGACCAATTCACTTTCCCACCTATGGTGAACAAGAGATCCCTTTTTCCACATACCTCACCAACACTTATGTCTTGACTTTTTGATGATAACCATTCTGACAGGTGTGAGCTGATATCTCGGTTTTGATTTGCATTTCCTTGACGAGAGATGTTGAGTATCTTTTCATGCACTTTTTGGCCATTTGTATATTTTCTTTGGAAAAATGTCTATTTACTCTGCCCATTTAAAAAATCAGATTGTTTGTTTGCTCTTGAGGTGTATGAGTTCTTTATATATTTTGGATATTAAGCCTGTATCAGACATTTGATTGACAGACATTTTCTCCCATTATTTTGAACTTTCTCGGGTAAATCACTTATATTCATTTCATTAGTAATTTTTTCCTGAGGTTTTAATTTTTTTTTTTTTTAGTACATATTTCTTTGTTTCTTCATTTTCCTTTATTCCCTGTGGTGGTTTCTGTGCATTAAATAAAAGAGCCACCTCTCAGTCTTGAATTTAGTATTCTTGTGTAGGAGAGGAAACTTACTGTAGAACCCTGCCCTTGTTTTTTGTTCTCTCAAACCTCTGGATTATCCAAGCAGCCATGTTTAATGGCTCCCAGAATTGGGGATGTGCCAAGATCTGTGTTCCAAATGGGAGGATCTCACTCAGCACCTAGATTCAGGCTGATTGGAAGTCCCCCTCAAGAAGCACTGTTGAAAGTATGCAAACATTTAGTCCTGAGGGACCTGGTGAAGCAAGTATTCAGTCATTTCCTGAAATAACTTTCTGACTTCTCCTCTCTCTTCCTTTTCCCGGAAGCCCTATAATGGGCATATTGGTCCTCTTTACAGTATCCCATAGGCCTTTAAATAATTTTTACTCTGTTTTTTATTCCTCTGACTCGATGAATTCTGCCTTGTCCTTGAGTTTGCTATTTCCCTAGACCTAGTATGTTGTTGAGCCCCTTTATTGAATTTTTCAGTACAGTACTGTATTCTACTTGTTCTGTGATTTGTTTGCTTTTCCTCTTTATTGAAAATTCTTTGTTCATGCCTTGTTTTCCTGACCTCAGTAAGCATATTATTTTCAATAGTATTGGGTAAATCACTCTTTCATTAAGATCTGTTTCTGATTGTTTATGTTGTTCTTTAGTGTATAACTTATTACTGTCTATTTTGACTTTTTTGTGTTGGTTTCTGTGCATTAGATGAAACAGCCATGTCTCCCAGTCTTGACAGAGGGATCTCATGTAGCTGAATCATTCACATCAGTAAGCTTGGCCCATGCTCCCAGGTGTCTCTCAAACCTTTGTTTGAAAACAAGCTGCCTTGTTTTCAGTGCCTCCAGGAGTTGAAGGTGTGCCCAGTCTGTCAGCTAGGTCCCAAAGGGAGGATCAGTCAGTGCCTGATTCAGGCTTGCTGTAGCTGAAGCCTCCGGGAGAGCCGCTGGGAAAGTATGTATAGTTAGGCCCCCAAGACGGAGGAGGGAGGCTGGGATTTTCTCTGCTTCCTCTGATGTGGGCCTGGGTCTAGAGCAGTGAGGAGTGTGTGTGTGTGCTCGCATGCGCACTCCTGAGCCTGTGAAGAATCTGCTATTTGTTACAGTCTGTGGGACTTCTGAACACAAGCCCTCTTGCCTGTCAGTCATGTGATCTGGGAGCCCTTCCCTTAAGCAACAGCTACAAGAGCTTTGTGCCAGATTTGTGGCCAAGCTCTTCAGGGGGATACTGGAGACTTGGCACAAGCTAGCCCAGTGGTTCTCAACCTTCTGGCCCTTTAAATACAGTTCCTCATGTTGTGACCCAACTATAAAATTATTTTCGTTGCTACTTCATAACTATAATGTTGCTAACTGCTGTGAATCGTAATGTAAATTTCTGATATGCAGGATGGTCTTAGGCAACCCCTGTGAAAGGGTTGTTTGACTGCCAAAGGGGTCACGGCCCACAGGTTGACAACCGCTGAGCTAGAGGGAGAGGGCTGGAGTTTCCTTCCAACCAGGCTGGGTGTGGGCTTTATGGCGGAGTGACAGCCTTTTGTGTTTTGATGCATTTTCTTATTCTCCCAATGTGTAGGGAGTCATGCTGCTAGTCTCTGGATTTCTTTCAAAGGAAATTGCTCCATGTATAGCTCCATTTGGGGTGTCCATGGGAGGTGGGGAGTCCAGGAGCCTCCTGTCACCATCTTTGCAGCCCAGGTAGAAGGAAGATAAGGTACTGACAGGGAGGGAATGTTCAGATTCGTGTTTACAACTACTTTTAGTCTCTATGCTATTGTGCATCCCACTGTCAAATTCATATTCTGAAAACTCCATTTTCTAATATGAATCCCCTGCTTTAAACATTTTACACTAGCCACCACTTATCAAGTACCCACTGTTTTAGGCACTCTTTATTTCATGTCATCTTTACAAGACTGCAAGTTCTGTACCAACAGCTCCAATTTATGACTGAATAAATGGAGTCACAAGGCAAACCTGGTCCATTTAACTGCAAATATATTTTCTTCTCACTTGACCTGTCTTTCTCACATCAGATCCTGGTAGGAGACTGTTAGGAATTACTCCAAAGCACACAGCAAATAAGAAACCACAGTGGTGGGAGATCCATTACTTCATAAATCCTTCTGCCCATGCATCCACTCACCTATTTTGTTCTGGAGAAACACTCCACTCAGAGCTGAACCTGCACATACTTCTTAAAACTTCCTGGGTGATTTTAAAGGGCAGCAAGGTTGAGACCTCTGCTGTACATGACCTAGCCTGTTATCTCCCATTTTATTCTATTCAGTGTCTGGTCTTGCCTTATCTTCAATATGTCAGGCACACACCTATGTCCGTTTTTGCCCTACCCATTTCTTTCTTCTGAAACACTCACTCTTCCTTTGTACATCCTTGTTTAACACTCAAGTCTGCACAAAACTTTGCCTTCTAAATGAGGCTTATTCTGACCACCCTATTGGAACTGCGAGCTATCATTCAATTTTGACGTATGCTTATTGTTCATTAGTCTTCATGCTAGAATGTAAACTCCATGAAGGCGGAGAACCTGGCTTGTTTTTGTGCATCCTTAAACTCTAAGCACCTTGCACAGGTTTAGGAGTATTATCTTAAGATTGTGTGGCCTTTAGTGCAACACTAGTCACCTACGGCGAATGAACATTTGAAATGTGGCTAGTCTAAATTGGAATTGCAAGACACTGGAAGATATGGCCACTCACCAAGATGAGGCATTAGGGGGTCTGAAGGAATAACTAGAATTATTTTAGATGGACTGAGGTGCCATGTCATCCTTCCATGTGGAGACGTACCCTGGGACTAGAAAGGTTAAGAACCTGACCTGAAAAAAAGTAACCACCGTCATACAAAGGTTAGCTGCTTTTAAAATTCTTTTCAATTAGCTCAGGATTTTCACAACTCTTGGAAACAGGCGTGACCTGATTTTCGTTTTATCTTAGAAGTAGGTCCAGATAGAGAAGTTTGAATTTTAGGCTTCAAAATCAAGATGAGAAGCTGCTTCCAGACCTCTAGCCCATTGCTCCTTCTACTGCACCCTTTGGTAGCTGTGTGAGGAAGTCAAGACAGGATTCTGCTCTCCAAGTATCTGTCTAGGCTTTTAAGTCCTAAATCAAACTTATGGTTCTGCTGTATCTAAAATGAAACCCATTTCACTTTACTATGTTGAGCCATCTTTCAAATTTTAGCAAAAGCTTTTTATCATCTGAGAATCCTTTCTGGACTACTCCCGGGAACTCTGGCGTATATACTGTTCTAGGCTTCTAACCTTTCCATGTTAGATTTTATTTCTTTACTGCTATTCTTTTGCCATAGGTGGTGAGCCCTAAACTAAAATCTTCGGATTTGAAGATAACTGGTACTTAGTAAACAGTTTTTCCTGTTACAGACAGCATCAAAGTCTTAGTTGTCTCAGAGCTCACAGTGGGGAGTGAGACAAGTCCTAAGCTTGAATGTAAATTCGAGTTTACTCCAGGTTACCGAGTGCCCTGGCTTTCAGTAGGCTTTAAGATGAGCTCAGGAAATCTCTGCAACATGCTTCTAAATTTGTTTAGGACCCCAAGTATGGACACCTATAGGCATGTTGTAATTTATACGTACTTAGGGGTTAGCAGCAGCCATTTGTTGGTGTCAGGTCTTCTGTTAAACTACTGTTTCATATTTAGTCTAAGACATTTTGAAAATCCATTTACTATTTGCATGGATAATTATGCCTTACTTTCTGTTGGCCTTGTCTAGAATAATTCACTTCTTTCGGCAGTGTTTTTCATGTGAACACCACCAACTGTATAACCAATACCTCAAAAATTTACAGCTTATAACACAACTTTTATTAGAAAAGTTATACATAACATAGCATCAACTATTTTCAAGAACAATATTAAACCCAATAAAGCAACAAAAACCAGACTAACAAAATGTGTAACAAGAAACTAATGACCTTTCTATAATCATTCAATTATCTACAATGTCTTTTTACAAAGGGAGAAAAATCAATGGTTTACAGGCACATTATATTGAAAATAAAGCTGCAATAGCAATTTTATACAATTACCATTCTCAAGAAAATGAATCATCAAAACAGTGATTACGCATTCACAAATTTAAAACATTTCACTTAATTTTAAATTACTGGGTATACACTGAAGTCTGAGTTTTGAAAGTGATTTTTTCCACAAAAGTGCCACCACTTAAGCTAGAACTCTCAGTGTAATTTTCCCCTAAAAGTTAAGACATTTTGATAATCATAAGTCACATGATTTCTGGTGCTATCTGGTCTGTTACTTATAAAGCCTTTATTGGATGTTTTTCTTCACTTAAATTATAGGAAACTGGATACAGGATTGCTGTTGCAAAGCTATTAAAGTTCCAAACACAGAGTGTACAGCGTTGGAAAAAGAGGTCAGTAATAAAACTTAAAATAAATATGAGAGAAGCCATTAGTTTTTACAGCATTGTCTGCTGAAAGGTTAAGTCAACCAGGTATATGATTTCCCATCAGTCTTGTCCTTTCAGTTGGAATAGCAATTTCTATTTTCATGATCTGAATACTTCAATACACCTAAACATCTTTTTAAAACTTTGATTTTTAGCTCTTGGAAAATTGTTTAAAATTATTCTACTCTAAAAAGTCTATTTCTGCTGATTTTAGAGCCTCACTAAAACAACAGATTTCAGGATTGTAAGGTTCATTAAAAAGATTCGTGGAATGCTTTTAAAATAGTCCCATCCTTTTGTAACTGAAGGGGATGAGTTACAACACAATTTCACACACCCCCTTGGTCAGCATGGAATTACACTTTACATATCTCGAGGACAATCTGTTTTGGGCACCATCCCAAAGAACAGTGGTTACAAGAAGATTGTCAGTGTTACTGATGGGAAAAGACAATTTCTTCCTAAGATTCACACCCTAGTTCAGACATTTTTCCTGACAAGTTTTCCTTTCCACTGCAGTCATGGAGAACAGATAAAAATCCTGACTTTTGACTGCTATTCAACATTATTGCATGCGCCAATATTGCACACATATATTCTGAACTGTTTAATCTTGGGTGCTTGTTTTCTCCATCAGAACACAATCCATACAAGCAGTTTCCCTTAAAGATGAAACTGATGAATTTAAAATACTGGAAAAAATGAAGAGAAATGCAGAGACTTTGTACAGAAAAATCTGAATTTCTTAAAGGGTTTTGTGTGCCCTACACATGGGGGCAATTTTTACACACTAGTGAAATGAACACTAGCTACAATACTTCTAAGCTGCTCAAATAATGTGGAACCTTGGTCCAGGTGTTGCGATGATGTCACTGTATGGTTCTTCCTGTGTCAGCTCAATAGCTTGCTGCTTTTTAAGAACCAAGAAACTGTAGAACTTTGCTGCAGCTTGCTTTCTGTTTGTGTTTCGACATAACTCAAGCAAACTGATAGATTCAGCTCCAGTTTTAGCAAGAGCTCGCTGAAATTAAAAAAAAAAAGAATTAAATGAAAGTAATTTGTATAGTACTATGCTATTTGGGGATACTGGAAAAAGTATACTGTATATTCTATTGGAGGCTGGGAGAAGATTTTGAATAGTAAGAGTGATTCTCACATCAGTCAAGAAGGTAAAAAGAAAGTTGATCATGGTATATCATAAATCCAAGAAATATTAAAATGACTCATCTTCTTTGGACATCTAATTCAACTGATTCCAACTATCCTCCGAATTTATTCTGGGAAACCATGAGCAACTTTCCTGGTATGTCATAAATCAGGGGTGGGCAACCCCTAGCACGCCAGTAACTTTTGTTGGCACTCGAAACCCTTTCTTATAATCTCCCATTTACCATTTTTTTCTTAATATCAACTTTTATTTTTCAGAAAAATTCAGTGTAGGTGCAGCTTAGATAAATAGTTTTACATAACAAGTTATCTTAAAGACCACAGACATGGATTGACGAGAGAGACTATCAGTGTACATGTATACATTAAAAAATAAATGTATTTTTCAACATCATATACTGTGTTTTTGTTGCTCGAAGAATTTTATTTCTTCAAGGTTCTTCACCTTAAGAGATATCAAGTAGGTGTAACATGTTCTCAAAAATTAGGGCTGGCACACAGATGAATTTTGAGTCAGAGATTTTGCTGGTTTTGGCACGCACTCACAAAAAGGTTGCCCACCCGTCATAGATGCTTAAGATACCCTTGGGCCTTAAAATATCAGATAAAGTAAGTGACATCTGACATTACAACAATTTGACAAATTGAATTATTCAGAGATTAAATTTGCTCAACCAAAAATAAAATGACACACAAAGGAGTACCATAAATCACCATCACAATTCTGCTTGTAAGATTAATCATAGAAAAGTAACAGTTTAAAATATGTAATAGGTATTCCGGTTATAGCATGTAACTTTTTTTTTTTTGAGGGAGTAATGGCACAATTCTTTGCTGAGGATTCTAAGACTGCCCCGGCATACCTGAAGACCATGAAGCATCTGCTGAGTCCTTTTGTTCCATCTTCTTTCTTCTTGATCCTGATCACCCCCCGAAGCATCTTCATCCTGAATGAAGATGACCCCACAAAAGTAAGCTGATAAAAATCTGCTGCAAAATGAAATTTCTATTTCTGTATTTCCTGAAAGCTCTAAATTAATTTGAACTATTTTGACTAATAGAAAATTATATTTGATCCTGCTGCAAAATCACTTAAATCTAGTGTGAAGTTTGTCTCTCTTAAATTACAAAAGAAAGTCCTCGGTACCTGCAAGCAAACATTTGGCTGAATATGAGATTCTGTACTGGTCTATAAAGATGTGCTCTATACAGCATGGTCCATGGACTATTGCTGGTTGGTTATTTGGCCCCTGTTAAAATAAGGAAGGAACTTATGCTGAGATATAAATCAACTATGCCACTAACATATTCAGTTGAGATCAACAGCATGTTATGCTTTATTTTTGGAGCATAATATTCTAGGTGATTTATAATCTGGCAGATTCCTAATCTCATTGTGGACCAGTACCAGAGAAGAGGCCACAAACTAGCAAAGATGAGCAAGTAGTACTTAGTCTATATGGTATTTTTAAAAGAAGTGGGCTATGACCCATCATATATATTTTACTTGAGCCACCTAGCTCCCAGGATAGACTAGAACTATCACCACTCCCAAAGAGTCGGAAGTGAACAGCTGTACACCTAACAGGTAGCACAATGACTTTTAAATACTAATTCAGTGCTAAGTCTGAGATAATGGCACACTCTAATACATAGGCTAGAGTAGCTCTGGGGCTAAATTTCGACTTTAAAACAATGTAGTGCTCATATTAAATCTTAAGCACTAAGTGCTAATGAAATGTGTTCAATCCATAACTTTTAGTCTTGGAAGAAATTTAAAAGCTTCAATGCCACCTGGAAGGCATTTAAAATAAAGATCTAAATAAAGTTCTTGAGATTCTCGATGTTGTCGAATATTTTAACAGCCAAAGCATGCTCCAGGAAAAAGAAATCCATTCCTAAAGCATCTCTATACTTTTTAAAAAATAAGAGTCATGCCAGACTTCACTAGTCACATCCTACTCCAGTCTAATAAAAACAAAACAATAAATGTTTGGTTATCTGATTTCCAGGTCATAGATAACAGTAATAGTAAGAACTGACTATTGACCACAAGATAATGAAAGCAGATACAAGCAATTTAGTTGTGAAGCAAAGAAACCAGTGAAGGGCAGTCCCATGTCCTTCAAAAGCCAATGAGTTATAGCAGAGCATACAATTTGATGTTCTTAATGATGAACTAGATCACTAAACATTTGGTTTAAAATTTGCTTCATGTTTATAAACATGTTTTCATCACTCTAATGCTCAACATCACTGAACTTAATCTCTAATATGAAAATTAAAAAAGCTGGTAGATTTTTTGCTAAAGGTGAATTAGGATTTTTTCAGGACATTAACATTACCTCCTCCTCTTCTTCTTCTTCTTTCTCCTTCTCTTTCTCCTTTTCTTTTTCTGGGAGAAGCTCTAACTCTGGAATTAACTGACAGATATTTGGAGGCTCTTCTGGGGGCAGTTCTACAGGAGGTATTTCCATCTGCTCTACTTGCTGAGGCTTAAAACAATAAAAATAAGGCAATTTAAGATGCACATTTTAAGGGTAGCTTCTTTTAAAAATACTGGGGCAATATTGCATACTTCCTCACAACCAAAGATTGATTATACAGGGTGGGAGCAAAAGCCTGCTTGCAGTTATTCATATGGAAAAGAATACAAAAATAAACTTCTCACACACAACTGTAAATCTTTCTTTTACTTGTAAAGCTTCGACATTAAAGTATTGTAGTTTACAAAAAAAAAAATGGATCCATTATCTTATTATCCTAGAACAAAAGTGTTTTTATACTTTTTAGGAGTCAAAAACTTAAGTCTATGTGAGAAATTTGCAAATAAGAAAAACCATAAACAGTAAACATCCCCCAAACTTTATATAGTAACATTTTAGAAAAAAACACACAAACAGTACTCCAGGGCAGTACATAAACCCATCAATTAGCCTGCTATTATCACCATTACTGCACACAACTACTTTAAGGCTATCCAACTAACTTGGGCTCTAAAAAAAAAAGAGCAGCAAATAGAAAAGAGATGATTTTGGAGGTCCATCTCTTTTAAGTTTCCTCCCTCTGAGGCTTTAATATTTTAAAAAACAACAATGAAAAAACAGTCTGTAACAAACTAAAGGAATGTCAAGGAACAATTACCAGGAGAGGTACTAGAATAATCAACTCACCTGTTCCTACTCCTGAGCTCATAGAGAAAAATGCTCTTTTTAGACAACTTCTTACCACCAGAGGGCAGAGAACTATTTAAAACTGGCAGGCTATCTTGTCAATGTCCCTTGATGGAGGCTGAACCAGATTCATTTATTTTATGGTTGAGAAGTCTTAAACCTGACCTTACTTCCATTATACTTTAGTTTTCTTATCCTTAGTGAACTTAATTTGTTTTTCGGCAATTTGAAAGTATACTGATTATTTAATGGGTCATTTAATGATAGCCTTAAAATTGCCTACCTCTGGAAATATGCAAAAATATTTGTTAAAGATTAAACCAGAACCTGAAACAGAATTGAGAGTCCAGGAATAAAGCCATACATACCTGGTCAATTAATTTACAACAAAAGAGCCAAGAATATATACAATGGACAAAGGACAGTCCTCAGTGTAATCATTTAATAACATTTACATGTTTCAAATCATGCTTTTCACCTTAAACCAGTGTTTCTCAAACTTCTGGTCCTTTAAATACAGTTCCTCATGTGATCCAACCATAAAATTATTTTTGTTGCTACTTCATAACTGTACTGTTGCTACTGTTATGAGTCATAATGTAAATATCTGATATGCAGGATGGTCTTAGGCGACCCCTGTGAAAGGGTCGTTTGACCGCCAAAGGGGTTGCAGCCCACAGGTTGTGAACCGTTGCTTTAGACTAATACAATGTTAATTATTTCTCAGTAAAACTGGAGAATGTTCGCACTTGCTCAAAGCAAAATAGAGGTCAGACAACTGAAACTAGAGAAGTGACAATCTGTTCACACTTGGCCTGGAATGTACAAGAATCTACTAGCTTATTTTCAAATACAAAAATCCTATCTAGCAGAAAGTTTGTTTTATTTTACTCACAAAATATTTAATGCATGTAGAATTTAACAGGTTCAATATACTGGTTTTCTGATTTTATCTAGAATTATCAGATTCACCTTGGACTAATATTTGAGAAAGAAAAATAAAACCAGAACCAAGTTCAGGGTCAAGGTCAGGGGTCCTCAAACTTTTTAAACAGGGGGCCAGTTCACTGTCTCTCAGACCGTTGGAGGGCCAGACTATAGTTTAAAAAAAAACCTATGAACAAATTCCTATGCACACTGCACATATCTTATTTTGAAGTAAAAAAAACAAAACGGGAACAAACACAATATTTGTATTTGTATGTGGCCCGCGGGCCGTAGTTTGAGGACCCTTGGCCAAGGTGCTCGCTATAGGCCACCCTGAAGCAACACTATTCAAGAAGACTCAGAAAGACTGAAAATTCCTAGAGCATCTTCTCTTACTTAAGGCACATTGTGCTCATACCCTTGGCTGCTATTCCTCTTTGGACCCATGTGCCTTCACATTTTCTGCCTAAACCAAGATACTTTAAAAGGGCCCCCTAAATAACACTCGCCAGTACTAGGGATTTAAAATGAATGTCTAATACCTCCAAACATACAAACATTGTGATGGAGAGATGTGCTTACTTACAGGGATCACAGGCTCTGGGTCAATTTGTCCTGCTTTTCGCTTAACTCCCTGAGGTGGTGGTGGAGGCATGGCTGACTCATCTGCGTTTGTTCTGCTGGTCTCCATCACTGACTCCTGGAGGCGGCTTGGCTCTTCCAAAATGGGCTCATCTGCAGTTGGCCATATGGAAAGACTAAGGTCATATAGTCTTGACCCATTTACTTTTAATACTAATACACTAAAATGTACTTTCTCTAATGGAGATGCCAAATAAAATTTCCTCCACAAAGATTACTCAATTTGTAATACACTTAAAGGTGGGAAAGGACCTTATGTCCCACCTCCAGTCCAATGCAAGATAATCCTTTAGCAGACTATCATACAGCCCATCAAGAAAACAAAGCTTCATATCTAACAAAGCAATCACAATATAATAAGACATGTATTTCCCCGTCCAAAAACGTTGAGTATATTGTTCACATAAATGTCATTAGGGAACTATCACAAAAGAACAGACCGATAACATCACGTTGCTGCTGTTGCTGTTCTTCTCTGGGCACCTCTGGATTCTCAAATTCTTTGAGGAATTCATCCAAATTATCAGCCTCTCCTCCTTTCCTCCTTTTTCTAAGATCTTCTGGAACTAGAGGTGTAAGACAGCGTGTAAAGAGCTATAAAAAAAAATAAGGGGGAAAAACCACTCAATTATAAAATAAGTCACATTATTAACAAAAAAGCCACTGACATTTCTATTTTCCATAAGTTTTAATATAGTTGTAATCAGTGTATATATATTTAGCATAATTTCTACTAAATGTCATAACATACTCATAGTTCATTCCATCTTAACACATTGCGTACCGCATAGAAATCTCTAAGGCATACGCCAGGGACCGCACGTTTTTCGGCAAACTGCACGTTATTTAAACCATCATAATGCACTTTAGGTGTTGTTTTTCAATAATTATAACGTTTTTATTTACAAAAACAATTAAACAATTAAAGTTCCTAGTATTTTTTTAACGTATGGTACTACGTAAACCATTTTCCTCTATGAAGAGGGACCAAACAAAATTACGTAAGTATCTAAATTCGCTCCTTTTTCCATGGGCGTGAAAAACGAGAACACTAGTGAGCGGTCCTTAACAGATGGCGCGCAAAACACGAGAAAACTCCTGAGCTGTACAAAATGTGTTAAAATGACTTTTTTTTTTTAAAATAAAATAAAATGACTTTAAATATAGGCTTTCAAATTATAACAAATTAAATTTTTAAAAAGTTCAGTGAAGATTTTAAATCCATTGTCTTGTAACTCAGAGATAAACTTTAGGCAAATAAACTAAAATGTCTAAGTTTTATTTTCATATTGATACTTAATACTCAATCCAATTTACACAGTGCTTTATCACCTATCATTTTAATAAAATATTCCACTGAGGAGATATATGTATCTCACACTTGAAACATTTTTCAATATTTAAATTTCTTTTTAAAAAACTGACTATAAGCAACAAAGTAATTAACATCTTCAAAGAAATGGCTTTCCCATATTTTGAATTACTTCCTTAGAAAAAAACTCCTATAAGAAGACCACTAAGTCAAACAATATAAATTTTCCAGATGAATATTTTATAGGACCATGCTTTCAATAAAAAGCAGTTTTACCATTGTCTTGCTGCTTTGAAACACTTTACAATTTAGAATACAATGAATAAAGTGAAATCAATTGGTTCTATGCAGATTTCAACCTTACAAAGAGTAACAACCTATCAACACTGCGTCTGCCACTCATGAGATGCCCCAGAATCTTGTTTTCGAGTATTCTGGAACCTAATGTGAGCAGAGAGGGCCTCTTCTCATAAAGCCAGTGGAAAAAGTATAACTATTACACGTTTCAGCCAGAAAGCAACATCTAAAGATTTCAACTGGAAGCACAGTGCACAATAAAGCAACAGAACTAATAGTTTATCAGAGGAGATTGAAGAGAGAACTACTAAAAATGCCAGTAGCTTTGTTGTATAGGGAATATTCATTCTACATCTTTTAGAAATGCAAGTGTCAATCATTACCATCTTTCAGATCAAGGTAAGTTCAGTATACTGTGATTTAAAAAAGAAGGTATGGTATAATTGACAAATACTTGATCAAAAATTATTCAAACAGAAGTTTTAAAAGTATTTTAAAAAATGGTCAAAATGTGTATGAAATAATAAATCCTGCAAACTTACCTTCAGTAGTCTGTTATTCCATAAAGGCTGGGCAGGTAAAGAGAAAAGCTTTTCCACTCCCCCTGTCTCTTTCCACATCATCAATTTCTTGGTGGGTGGTGCCAGATCCAAAGTTGTAACAATGTCAGAATAATCACTAAGCTGGGCTCTAATGGTCTTACTATCCAACTCTTTGACACTGTCAACAATTAACTTCCTCTTTCTCTTGGCTTTTGTTTCTTTGACTGAAATGGAAAAAAAAAAAAAAATCATTTTCCCGAGAGGGCAGCAAGAAAACACACAGTGCCCAGACTTGGTCTCATTGTATCTCCTGCTTTTCTACAAACCCACTAGGAAAGTTAAACCTCATGAGGGCAGAATCTCTTTTTCTCTTTCATTTAAAGGTTTTTAAATTAATTTTTAGAAAGTAATGAAGAGGGGGAGAGAGAGAAATATGTTGATGTGAGAAGGAAATAGCGATCTGCTGCTTCCTGCATACCACCTACCAGGGATCAAGCCAGCAACCTGGGTAACACCAGCCAGGACCAGAATCTCTTTTAAATTAGGTTTCCCAAACACCATGCAGAAAAGAGGCTGGCATTCAATAGGCGCTCAGTAAAAATTTTCAGAATAAATGAATATGGATTTAGTACAAAATGAGTAAATTCAAGCGCCAATACATTTATCCATGTAACTTTATACAGTAAACATGGAACATATCACACTCAGGCTCAAGTTCTGAGCTGCCTTATTAGTTGAGTATAAGTTGAATACAAGAAAAGTTGACTTCATCTTGCGTACCTCTTCATTTTCTTATTTGCAATATGGCCAACCACTTATAGAGGTTGTGAAATACTTAAGACTGTTTGGCATAGATTGAGTCCTCCATAAATGGTTGCAATTACTAGGATTTTTATTGGAAAGGTTACAATTCATATATGGCAGTTGTAAAAGCAGCCTGAAGTGAAACAAGCCCAAACCCAGTCAGATGCACCTGAAACTCCATCACAGACATGTATATTCATTTCTAAACATCACCAGAACGGTAAAGTAGGTAGCTTTACCTCAATCTTTGAAGATAACAACAACAAAAAACCAGCTCATGGGATTAAGTAAATTCTTTAAGATTTTATCCTGTCATACATGTTATATCCCATAGGTTTTATTTTTTTTAAATCCTCACTTGAGGACATGGTTTTATTGATTAGGGAGAGGAAGAGAGAGAAACACAACATGAGAAACAGATCTGTTTCCTCCCATACACACCTGGACCAGGAATCAAACTTACGACCCTTCAATGCATAGGATGATGCTTTAATCAACTGAGCCACACTGGCCAGGGCCTCCATAGATTTTTATATACAATTATTTATGTGGTTTAAGATTAAAAAAACGTTATAGAGTGACAGACTTTGTCTAAACTGTCCTCCAGCTACTCAGAGTTCCTTTCCCTAAAAGTTCCAAATTCTTAAAACAACTGGCAAAGCCTATTTTAAACACTGCAGTTTAATGTTCTCTTTAATATGTCACTAACATAGTACATATTTTAGTGTTCCACAAGGATAAAGATTTAGTAAGCGCTTAAACCAGGAGCCCAAGTCACAATTTTTGGTGACCAGATTTTAAGTAGAAAAACCAAAAGGGTAACCTTGTTCTATTTAAAAGTAACAATTTATCTTGAATATACTGTAACTGATTTCAAGTATTCTATCCCATTGTACCCATAATCTAGAAATTTTATAATTTCACACCCAAATTATGTATCTCAAACTGCTTCTTTCATTCAGAAGCAGCAGCCCCCCCCCCCAATTAATTGTGTTATGCTGCTTATATAATAGAGGCCTGATGCACGAAAATCGTGCAAGGGGCAAGGCCCCCCACCCGCAGTGGCTACTGCCTCTGTCTTGGCCCTCATAGCCCCGGCTTCGTCTGGAAGGACGTCTGGTCTAATTAGCATATTATGCTTTTATTATATAGGATATTCTTATATAATAAGAATACTGCTTTTAGAACCTCTGATATTTTTTTAGGTTTTCCTAGACTGGAGCCCAACTGTATAGAACTTTGGAAGATAACTGATTAGCCAGTCCTGTATTTTACTGTAAAATACCTTCCAGCGTTTTCTGTTACACGTGACCTGTTAGCATTTTGAGAATCCAGAGACTACATACGAGCAGAAAACTTGTTCTATACTTTATATTTCACAACTTGCATGAAAATTCTTTCAGATACTCAAATTATATTTGAATTAAATAAAGGTTCTGCTAGATGACTGTGACCAAGAAGAAAGAAGACCAGTTATCTAAAATGAGAGCAGGAATTTAGTGGACAACAGTCAGAACTAGGATCTTATGCTTTAGTAAGTTTTATAAGTCAAATGTGTGCTCACCAGTGATATCGATAGGTTCCAAAGCAAAGGCTTCTTCCTCATTCGGAACAAGTGTTGTTTGATCAGTCATAGTCGGCATTGGTTCGACAGGATCCACTGAATCAGGACTATCAGGCCCACCACCCACTATAAAAACAGAACTTTGGTCACAAAAGGCTTGGTTATTTAACATATACCCTACAGATAAAGTATTCCTTTATAAAACTGGAAAAAATAAAACAAAAAGAAACCTATTGGTACCAAGAAAAAGGTTTTCTAGATCTGAGGAAGTCCCTCCAAATCGAACCCTATGATTTACTAAGAATCAATCAAAAGCACTGTTTTAAGATTTACAGTTTGTTCATTAAAAGGTTGAACTTTCAGTGTGTGTTCTTTATGTTAAATATCTCTCTGGATATCATACAATCATGCCCAGGTCACTAAACATGCTTACTTGACACATTATCATCCTCATCCATATCATCATGTGCAGGCTGTTCTGGCAACATAACCCCCGTCTCCGATAGGGCAGGAGGATCATCAAAGATACCGCCATCATTATTACTAATGAGTTTGTCATCTGAAATAGGGAATATAATTTAAATGTTATTCAAAAAAATGCTAAAAGAATATTCAATCACTGGAAAAATACAATTATGTTAAAATGGATTAAATTTAAAAACTTAAATCTGTATTCAATTTGCATCTGTTTCTCTTCAGGGTAGTGTATGAAAGTATAAAACATTTAGTATATAAAAATATTTCTCACTCCTAATTTATATTCTCTAGTTCTTATCGCTATTTAAAATATATTTACTTAACACAGCTATCAAACAGAAATAGAGCAGTTTTAAGAACTAGTAAAATTTAAACTGAGAACATTTACTGAGCCAATGGTCGGAATTCACACCTAGAGTTACTCAAGACACAGAATTAGCAATAGCTCTAACATAAAGAAATTAGAATAAACACCTTGTGACCTACCTAATATGCCACCATCATTTCCTTCTCCGAAGTTGTCATCCTTATATTGGTCTTCATATTCTAAATGGTTAATTTTCTCATTCAGATTGCTTGTGCTCTGCTCAGGCTCTAACAGGAGGTTAGAAGCACTAGTGCTTACTAACATGTCATCATCCTCAAAAGCACTGCCTTCTCGCATTATCTCACGGTCATCCATTCCAAAGTCACCTGAATAAATTTTAGTCAGTCATTAACTGAAAAAAGTGAGAAACATGACTGATACAGAATAAAAAAGGTTAGTGATTTATGATGTCATATTTGCTTATTGAAGTCTTGATTATCTTTGAATGTTAAAACATCTAGTTTAAAGCTTTAACATCTGTATTTCATAAGCTGAATCTGGGGCAAGATTGGCAAATACAAAGTTAAGATCCAAATTTAGGTTACCTAAATATGTTAAGTAAATCTAAATATGTATGCCTGTTAAGTGGCATTAACATTCATAGACAAACTTTGTTATAATAGGTTTTCATAAGAAAAGAATTTGGCTTGCTACAAGTTTTGAATAGTGAATTTCAATAGAATGCACAATGCAACTGTTCCAACATAGTTTAAAAGCGCGCATTACTTTAACATTGAGACTTTTCACACAAATCAATATACAGGTTTTATCATTGTGTATGGGAAGTAGGAGTAGGCAGAGAATGAATTCTAAGTTTGGTGCATAAATGGAAATAATGCTTAATATACTGGAACGAAGGCAAATTCTTTTCCTAATAAAAACATGTAAGATGAAATTTTAAGTCATTCTGTCATTGTGAATGTAATAAGTGCCTAGTTTTCTTTTTTAAATTGCTAACAGTACCAAACATAATTGTAATATTATAGCTAGTGACTAGTGATTTCTCTATTACCAAAATCATTTTCTTGTAGGATACTGATGTTCCCAACATCTTCTCTCATGGTTATCTCTTCCACTCTACTCTGGTTCAGGCTGAACTGCTGGGCCACATCGATGTCACTGTAAAAAGATTTCAAAAACACTTTAGTCAAGTCTTATCATAATATACAGTAATACACGGAGGCCAAGAATCTGAATGATTTACAGGTTAAAGTTTCCTGGCTTTTCTGAGACCTGTTTCTTCCTCTAACAAGTAACCTTTCATATTGTTTTAAAATATTAAATAAATTAAAAAACACAAACCCACAAAACTCACATAATGTTAAACACCAGTCAGCAGTATCATTGGCGAAATTCAGAATGTAAACAGTTCAAAACACATAAGTGGGTTAGTTTAGCAATTAAATGGCAAGGAAAAATGAGAGATGCAGAGCTGGTGTAGATTTTTGAGCGATTATGAGACACATCAACCAAGTAAAGTATGCAGACCATGTGCAGACCTAACTCAAACAAGCTAGAAGAAAAAAAGGCCCTGTGTGTCAACTGGGACAATTGAACGCTGATTGGACATGCAGTAAGGAATTACTTTAAGTTTTCTAAAGTATGATGTTATTATGGGTATGTTTTAAAAATTCCTTATTTCCAAAGAGATACATACTGAGTTATTTACAGTATTTAATAATATATGTGTTATTTGCTTTAAGATAATTCAGTGGGGACTGGAGGGTGATTTGGAGAAATACAAATGAAATAAAAGTGGCAATATAGCCCTGACCGGTTTGGCTCAGTGGATAGAGCGTCGGCCTGTGGACTGAAGGGTCCCAGGTTCGATTCCAGTCAAGGGCATGAATGTACCTTGATCAATGTTTCTCTCTCATTGATGTTTGTAACTTTCTATCCCTCTCCCTTCTTCTCTGTGAAAAATCAATAAAATATATATATTTTTAAAAAGAGGCAATATTGATAATCAAAACTGGATAATCAGTACATGTAGTTCACAATACTAACCTACTTTTAGCTATGTTAAGAAATTTCCATGATAAAAAAACAAACAAAAAAACTATATATATGAAAACCAAGTGACTGGAGTGCCAGAATGACTGGTTGCTTTGATGCACACTGTGCCTCGATTGCCCCCACCCCCAACTGGGGGCAGGGCCGACTGGCCAGCCCAGCCCAGCCCAATCGGCCCCAATGGGGGCGGGCTGGCTGGACACCACCCATGTACGAATTCATGCACCGGGCTTCTAGTATAAGAGGAAACAAACAGTAAAGCAGGTAGATGATGATAATGCCTACCTAGGACTAATTAACTCACAAAGAAATCAAAATAGTTCAAATTTAATTAGGAGTCATAGAGCATTTTAAAAAGCAGAGGAATTTGTCAAAAGATAAATGGGACTTTTATCTTTATGGTATAGAGGGTTTCTTGGTTGTCAACTGTAGTAATCAATCACTTGGAAACTTCCAGTCCCCCTCCATGTCATGGTTGTGATAGCTGGATTTTGAGGACTTAAGGAGGGAAGCAAGTATACTACATACAGTATTCTGCAATAATGGCCATCTCTGTACAACTTTCTCCTTTTAAATGTGCGGTGACAATGACCCTTTCATACTCTTCATAGAAAGTTATCTCCTATGCTTATTAAAATAAAATTAATACAAAATTATGGCTGAGTATAGCTTGGCAAAACAAACCAAAACTTACTAGATGATTTTAATGTATTTTCCCGAAAAAAAATCATGAAGCAATAGTTCAAGTTTACTGGTATCATGATATCAAGCATATTATCTGGACAACTGTTCTGTTTACATAAGCTCTGGCCTAAGCACATGAGAATTCTCCTATCTTACCTGTATTAAAGTTGGTATCTTCTACACCAGTGATGGCGAACCTATGACATGCAAACTCATTTTTTTGGTTGATTTTTCTTTGTTAAATGGCATTTAAATATAAAAAATAAGTATCAAAAATATAAATCTTTGTTTTACTATGGTTGCAAATATCAAAAAATTTCTATATGTGACACGGCACCAGAGTTAAGTTAGGGTTTTTCAAAATGCTGACATGCTGATCTCAAAAGGTTGGCCATCACTGTTCTACGCTATTTTCTTATAGAAGCACTTTTAGGTTATATTTAGAAATACATAAACATACTTCCATTTAGGCTTCCCTATCCTTAATGAAAGAGTATATATTTTAGCTAAATGTTAATTCAATGTCAAAACATTCCCAAGGAAAACTGTATATTTAGAAGCCAATAATATGTTCTCTTATAGACCAAGTCAACAATTATTAAATAAAAAAAAAGACATACTCTAAGTCAGGCAATGGCTGATCAAAGTCATGAAATTCTTCAGGTAAAGTAATGGCATTGTAGGCAGCTTCTCGATTTTCCTCAGGCAGGTCAACAACACCTGGAAAAGAAATGGGAAGCTTCAAAGTCTGGCTACACAAGATTATCCAGGGATCCAAGAAAGGTAAAGTCGGTATAATTTCCCAAGGTTATATTCTAGAAGGTAGATAACATATGTAAAGTACTTTGAAGCACAGTACTTTTGTCTTTCTATAATCGTAAGACATACTACTCCCTTTACAAAAGAAGTCAAAGCACTATTATGCATGAAGCTAATAAGTCTTTAAAAGAACATATCAACAAATAGTTTCTAAGATAAGCATAAAATGTCTGCGGAAGATAAGGAATTACTGCAAACCAGTGAGTCCCCCAAATGTTAAGAGGAATTGGTGTTTTAAGGAACGTGAGAAGATTTAAATTTTTTATATTTTCCAAGCTGTCTGTAATAAATATACATTGCTTTAAAGACAAAAATAAAAAAAAATCATGTTATTTAAACAAAATGCACTTAGTAGCTATGTGTTAGAAATCACCCAAGTATCACAGTCTCTGTCCTAAATATTTACTTTTCAAATAAAATCTCAGATCTTAAAAATTTCACTATTCATACAGTAAAATAAATTCAAGTACTAGAACATAACCTTAGTAGAAAATACTGTATAAGGCATCTCTTTTATACATTCAGATTACTTTAATTAGAATAAAACTTCACCAATGCTTTAAAAATTATTTGTGAAAAATTAAAACCCTCAATTTTGTTTTCTGAGCTCTGTATGTTAAAAAAAGAAAAATATAACTGGTTTTCAACAGTTTAACCTCTGATGACTGAGTTCTACACAAGTTGCTGCAAGAGGAGCTAAAAGAAAAAGGCAGCTCCAAAGAAAGAACAAAGAAGAGGGGATTGTAAAATCACGCAGGCAGAACAAAAGTAAAGTGGGTTTCCTCTCTCAAACCACTGCCTCTCCCAGCCTTGCTGTACTGTGAAGAGCCCTTTGTATTGAAATTAAAATAAAACATGACATGCTGAGATATAAATTTTTTTTAGCAGTTTTTCACACCAAACATGAGAAAGTCCAATATTTAAAAAGAAAAAAGTCAATAATACCTGGCCGAAAAGCCATCTTTATCTTAATGAATGCTTCATTACAGTCTGCAAGGAGATATTTGGCTTTTCTGTGATAGATTCGAACAACTCCCAGTAAGAGATGTCCTGATGTTCGGAGTGCCATCTTCACCTGTGAATAAAATATTAATACTAATATAATTTATAAAGTCAATTTTCTGGTTTTATAGGTAATCATACCTTGAAGCTTATATTTTGTTCAATTTATAGGCAGTTTTTACTTTATCTCTTTATATTTTTTATCATTTATTTGAAGTTACCTAAATCACCTCTATTTTATTTTTCACTGCTTTTACCTGTAAATTCCCCAAGTACCCCAAAGGATAGACTGGCAGTAATCCATGAATTTAACACAGACATGAAGGTAGCTATGAAGCAGGCATTAAATTAAGGTGTTCCATGGATTGTTGCCATGAGCACATTAAGGAGCATGTGGTACTTCTGACTGCCAATCCAGACCCACTGCTCCTTGCTGGCTCCCTGAACTGATTTTGTTTGGGAAGTGCATGTCCCCAGCCTCGAAGGATGATTGCTCCATTCTTCTCTGCTAATGCTTACTCTTGCATTAGCAACTTCAGTTCAGTCAGATTAATAAGTATAAAGTATATCAGAGAGATTCTAAGAAAGATTTTCCCATTAAAGAAGAATGCCCCTCTCTTCTCTCTCCCTTTCCGGCATTAATGTAAATAGGAGAGATTTGGAGCTGCCTGCAGTGACCCTGTATTAGCAAGGCCAAAAGTATGATGATAAGAAGCCAACAAAC